CCTAAGAAGCCCCCCGACTTGGTGGGAGGAGGCGGAGGCCACGCAGGAGCGGGCGGCGGAGGCGGGGGGCTGGACGGACCCCGGCTGGCCAGTGAGTGTTGTGGGTCGAAGGAGGGGTTGGGATGGGGTGGGAGAGAAACCTTTGCTTGGGGTGTGAGGGAGGAGACAAGGAGGGAGGAAAGGGGGCACCCTCTGGATCTCCGATCCCAGGCCGGGGACTCCACGGCCCCTTCTCCCTGGGGCGGTGTCGGGACTGCCTCCTGGGAGCTGATGCTTCGGATGATGAGATGGCAGGGATGAGGGATGCCGGAGACGGTCCCCCGCCCGGTTTCTGGAGCGAGTTGACGCCTGCGAGGTTTGAAAGAAAAGGTGTTGAGCAATAGAAGGAAGAGGCGGGTGATAACGCTTCTTAGGCTCCTTCCTATAGCATGAAAACTGACAAATGTGGCAGACTACCTCCTTAAGAGAGATAAAAAGGGGTGTGGTGGCTTTTTGTTAAGATAGTTGGTGCTACAGATGTTGGTGGTGCCTGTGTATGAGTGGGAGTTTTCAAAATAGGCCAACAGTCATGTAGACAGTGGTGGAATGTATTTTAGTTGCAAGCAGTGGCGAGAGACAAAATTTCAAGAGGGTCCAGTAAATCTTAGCTGGTTTGATAGTTCAGTGTACAAGCCCTGTGACAGGGAAGAACGATGATGGCTCTGTACTGTCAGTGTGTCATTTGTAATGTCAAAATTCTCAATTGAGCGATACATTCTTTGTACAAAAGTGGAACAGGGTACTGGTTGAGAAACCAAATTGTGAGAACTTGACTTGGCTCCTGCTGTTCCTTTTTCTACCTCTCCAAATTGGGGAAAGCACCTAACACCTGCTAGAAGCTATGAAATATTCCATGGCTTTGGAGTAGTGAAATAACACTTTAGGCTGGTTGATGGGAAGAGGCAGCTAATCTGTCATCAGTATGTAAAAAAAAATTGGCAGAACATGTTGGAGATATTTTCAAGTGTGGTTTGACAACTTGTCATGCTCTTCCTTTAGGTTTCTTTGCTCTTCTCATGCCAGCTTCTAGTTGCAACTCTTTAAGAATATGCTGCTTGCTATCTCAAACATAGGAGTATGCAATGTAGATTCCTGTCTTACTTATTTTGAAGTATTCTCTGTGGCTTTTGTTCAGATTGTAACCAGAATTTGAGAATAGGGAAATTTTAGGCTTTCCCCTTCTGCCCTTTTAAAAAGTTAATATTTACAATCACGACACACATATACTGTGCATTAGGGTTGAGAAGGAAAAGGGAATGTGACGTCATGTAATGCCAGATGTTTGAAAGGCTGTAACAGTTTTTTTTTTAAAAAAGAACAATGTTTGGTGTAGATGCTAAGATGTAAAAATTCTATTCTGGTACCTTGCGTGGTGGTGTGCTGGTCCATAGCAAAAGCAACAAAGAATCTTTTGCATATATCCCCAGGGCTGCTGAACAGAAAAAGAGAAAGTATAGTATGACTACAGTATATTACATCTTCTGGTAGGATTGTCAGAATGAAGCAGTTTTAAGGAAAGGATCTGTGAAGAGAATTGTCAGTCATTTGTAGTAGTACTGTATTCTGATTGAAGGAAGTCCAGCTCTATAGCCATGCTTTGTTGGAAAATTGGTTAATCCACAGTTGTTGGTAGTTAAAACCTAAACTTTTAGGATAGTTTCACATGAATGCTTTTCCCACTACAAGCTGAGCATATAGCAGTCCTGTTGCAGAGACCCATCTCTGGGTCTGATTTGACTGTGTGATACAAAGATATGGTGTAGTGTAATGATCAGCTAAGATTTGCTAGGCTGCAAATCAAAACAGCATATTACTGATTGACATCTCTATAATGATCTCAGCAGCCTTTGTACCTCCATGAGACGGTATGACAGATAATAACACAGGTTTACCTTAGAATAGCTGCCTGAGTAGCTCAGTGTGATTGGGAGTTCGATTCTACACTGTGTCCCCTGGGAGAAGAGCCAGCCTATACTCACAGATAAGCTGCCATAGTCCCAGGGTGTGCCCAGAAAACAGGAATGGTAAACCACTTCTGTGTATATAGAAACCTCTGGAAAGGGTCACCATAACTCAGAATTGACTTGACAGCGCACAGTTATTATTATTACCTTAGTTTGTCCCATAAGTGGTTCATGTTTTAAATAACCATAGAGGCAAGAATCAACAAAACTAGCTGAGAAGGAAAAGGAAAACTCCAATTTCAAACCTCCACTGCCTTGTAGCTATATCCACTCATGGAAAAGGCTTCAGGAGTTAACCTAGAGGCAAAATCCAGAGCTGCCAACTCCTGCGACATTGCTGGAATCAGTTGTATTGGCTCTTGCCTTTCCATTGGACCATTTCAGCAACGTGGAGAGGGGGGATTTGCTGCTTGGGTAACAGCCTATCCTCCATACTACTTTACTGAAGCTTCATGCTCTGGAGAGGAGCATGTTACCATAGTCTCTCGAGATTAAAGGATGCCTATGATGAGAACAGTGTTTCCCAGCCTTGGGTCCCCAGATGTGCTTGAACTCCCAGAAATCCTGGCGGCCCAGCCTAGTAGTGAAGACTTCTGGGAGGTTTAGTCCAAGAACATCTGGGGAACAGATGTTAGGAAACATGGGCTTAGAACATTGTTTTCAGGATATGTCTGAACCATTTCAGACACTTGAAATTGTGCGATGAATGTTACGTTGATATTTTTGAGCTTGTCAGTAGTGGAATAGAAATTTAAAAGTGAATTGAGCTTATTTTCATAGTTCATGTTCAAATAAATATAGGATTGCTGCTTGCTGTGATTTCAGAATATCACCATGTTGTGTGAAAAATAGCAATGTGGATGTGGCGATCCCCTCTGAAGCCCCTATTCCCTCAGGTCTTCACGAGGTTCTCGCTCTTCTTCTTTCTTCGCTGCCACCAGGTATTGCTGCTTCAATACCATTTAATCAAGGAGACACGTGTGCTTTTAAAACGTACCTCATTTATTAGATCAGGGAAGTCCATATAGGATTATTAATCGATACGTAAATCACAGATTGCTAATCACTTGTATTTATGTCAATTCTACTTTAACTTTAAAACTCTATCAACTCTGTTCCATTCAGTGTTCTTACAGGCCTCTAACTCACTCTAAGTTCACTTTTAAGTTTCACACTGTCTCTCACTCACAGAATCTCCCTCTGTCTCGATACACCAGCCTTTATATCCAGCCCCCTCCCCCCTTGGCTCCACCTTTCCGTCCTCTCATTGGCTCCTACTCCACTGTTCCACTGTGACGGACAGGTGAGGGCAGGGCTGTTCGCTACAGTGGATTATACCATTTATGTATCTCTAATTTCTCATTCTCTTTGCATATTACCTCTCAGGTACTCAATTGTGTGTTTGCAAACAATGTCGAGATTCAAGTTGGCATCATCATCAAATGTCTTCATGGCAGTATTCTAAAACAATAATAATCAACATGTCATCAGGTCAATTTTGATCTATAGCTACCCTTTTCAGGATTTTTAAGGCAGAGAGTACAGTACTCAGAAGTAGTTTACCATTCCCTTCGTCTGAAGGAATTCTGGGACCATTTAGCTTGCCCAAGACCACTAAGTGGGTACAGAAGGGTAGTTTATCTAACTAGAGATATGTCATGTAATACATTTGAAAGAAACATTCTGGAAAAGCTAGCTGTGTTCTGTGAAATAAACTCTGAAATCAGCAGGTAGACACTAGTGATAATCAGAAGAAACTACAAATCTATAATAGCATGCAAGTATTTTAGTTCGTTCTAGTTCACCATCAAGCAAAGAAATTAAAAATAGGTGTGGATCACTTTGGTTGTAAGATACTATTGTTGTGACCTATATTTAGAGATTAGATTCTCTGATTTCATATTATATGTTTGCCATAAGAAGTGCACCTAAGCGTAGAAACATTAATGCCTATTATCTTAAAATACTTTTTGCTATACAGTAGATGAGCATGTGTCAGGAATTACCCATGAGAACAGTTGGGCTGTTACACTCAGAACCCTAAGTATTGGTGAGAATCTACTGCCTGTAGGTGATAGCTGCTTCCGTGTTATATAAATGTCCTGTGCTACATCAGTTTTTTGAAGAAGCACTAACATGTATGAAACAAATAAATGTGTGTGTTAATTCCTTAAAAAATAAGAGCAGTGGCAATTGTCTCCTTTATGTGGACTTTTTGAATCTTATTTGGGATTTCCACTCGTGTAAATGTAATTGCATAAATTGCAGTGGTGAATTGCTGCTCACATTCCTGGTCACCCGGAATACAAATGACATCTCTTTAATTAGCTGCAATTCTTCTTAGCAATTTACTCAGTTATCCTTATGCCCTTATTGAATTTAGTGTGGAAGACGAACAAGGAAGCAGTCCAGATTAACCCCTTACAGGGTTCTGACCATTCATGGTATTTCTGTCCTTTCATCCACCATGATATAGTACATTTTGTAGTCCTATGTCAAAGTGGTTGTGGTTGATCTCCTGGATAGTTACATTCAAAACAAACAAACAAAAATCTGTGAGATAGGCCAATCAGCCACCAAAAGAAAAGAAACCAATAGCAGACTTTTTGAGTTGAATTAGATGTTGCAGTGTTCAGCAATTTCATGATACATTTGTGCATTGAGTACTACATATGATCTACAATAACAATGTTACTTTTAATTCTAGATCCTAGTGTTTAGCTTATTCAGTATGTACCATTACATTCTGTGTTGAACAGATGAATCACCACGCTCATCATCTGTGTATTCATACACAACACCCATTAATAATAATTGTCAGGATATAAATTATCTGAATTACCCTACCCTGTTTTCTGAATGTGCCACCTAAAAGGTTCTTTAACACACACTATTATACCTACTCTTAACTGTTGGTTGATTTAATTCTTATAATACAAAAAATCAACAGAGTTAGTTCTGAAATAAGAGTTCTGTTTCTTAATGACTATTTAATGGTCATTAAAGAAGTGGACTTTTCTCACAAAAGCTCACATTAAAATATAGTGGTTAGTCTTTAAGGTGCCACACTTTTCTTCTTTTGTAAAAT